CTTCCTTTTCTTTTGTTATCAACACTTCTATAATGAAAGATCATCAAGCATCAGATGCTTCTTGAACTATAAATATCAGAAAGCAATCAGCTCCTAACATTACATTCCATCTATATCTTCTACATTATTTACATATTATAATTTGTCAACTTCGAATGAACCACTAGCTGCTGTAGCAATCAACAATCAAATGCTGAACGTCTCGGATGGAATGATCGATCATTATATGAATCATCTAACAGCGTTGACGAGATCTCCGAGTAATGACGTACACGCACTCGTAAAAAAAAGAAAGAGTGCGAGAGAGAGAAAATGAGGGACTTTCTTTTCGAGGCTGAGCGAGCGCGAGGTTTTGGCGGCCACTGTTGAACGTCACTCGTGGAAGAAATCCGTGTTCCCGTGGAATATCCGCGATGCGGACGAACGAGAGGCGCGACGGAGGTAAACGCGGGACGCGAAACGTCGCGTCGCGAGCGGAATCCGTTCAACTGCGCGCTCGATGCCACCGACGAAACCTGTCACACGCAGGAAGCTCGGAAGACACGAATCTCGGGATAGGGGATCCCGAAGGCGGGCGAGCGCGACGGGGCGCGCGAGTCGCGTTGTCGTATCCTACGGGAACTCGAGAACGTCGGGACGTGATGGCGACACGTTACCTGGAACACACGTCAGAGAACACACGGCCTGCGAAAACACCTCCGTGCTCCAGCGCTTCACACAAAGAAAATGGCGTGTTATGAAATCACGAGTATGACAACGATGTCGTCACCTGTTCGCCTCGCCTCCCTTATCGACCGAGTGCAATCGAGTGCATCACTCTCGCGGCACGTCCTCTCACTACGATAAAGTCGATATCAGTCGATACGGAACGCGGAGTATCGATATTCGCGAGAAGCGAGTTTGTCCACGTGAGAGGAAACGATGGCGCGATAGGCCGTCATCTGCGCACGCGCGGAATCGAACATTTGTCGTGATTTCGAAAACGCGTGATAGGCCGCCATTTGCGCATGCGCGGAGTCGAACGTGCTCGTCGCGTTTCAAAAACACGTGATAGGCCGCCATCTGCGCATGCGCAGAGTCGAACTTGCTCGTCGCTATTTCGAAAACGCGTGATAGGCCGCCATCTGCGCATGCGCAGAGTCGAACGTGCTCGTCGCGATTTCGAAAACGCGTGATAGGCCGCCATCTGCGCATGCGCGGAGTCGAACGTGCTCGTCGCGATTTCGAAACTTGCCGTTTGAAATTTGAGCTCACGTCGGTTTGTCTCATCTTTCGTTGTTACATGTCTCGTAATATTGATGTGTTTCCTTAAATTTAAACTCTACACAATGCATACAATGAAGGAAATATTAAGAACAAGAATAAATATTAATAATCAAGATCTATGGAACAGGAACAAAGAATAATGCAGGTAATAAATTTCAACACGTACGTTTAAAAGCATCCAAGTTATCCATCTTAACGTTCACTGAGTAGTCAATCTTCCATTGTAAATTCATTATTGTAATGAATAAAAAAAATAATAAATAATAACAAAATAATAAATGTTCTAAAAAAATCTGTTTTTTTTTAATTTTTTTAGTAAATTAGACTTTCATCGGCAACCTAATTTAGTATCTTCAGATTTGGGATTTTAAGGAACATTACAATTTTTTGCATCATTCTATACTGTATAAAAATCTCGTATATTTCTGAAACAATAACAATGTGTAAAAAAAAACGAACAAATTGATTTGGCCATGAAATTAGAAAGACGAAATCTAGCATAAAGTACATTCTGTTCCGTGAGATCAAATTATTTGTTTTTTATGCATATTTGAAGTTTAAAGGAGATTATTTTAGACGTGATGTAAGATGAAATCTTACGAAAATCATTTATTTCCATGTAAAATTAGTCACCAAATCCGGAAATGATAAAATTAATTGGAGTAACACAAAATTATGAAGACACATTTTTAACTTACAGAAATTTAATATAATACTGGAAATTATTTATTTGAATTATTAAAAATATTGTTCAGTACTTTTATATATGATATTTAAAATAAGTAATTAATCCTATTTTTTAATATTAAATTTCTATGTTGATTTTTAATCATTATACCTCGAATTTTATGTAAAGGAATTTATTTTTTTATATCAACATGAAAAAAAGATACGTCATTTTTTTGTCATTAAATGATTTAAATGAATCGATTTCTCTATATTGATTGCGATCTACATAAATAAATATGTATAAATCTGCTAATTGTATTGACATTTCGAATATAAATCTGCTAATTGTGTTGACATTTCACGACTCGTGATGGAATAAAATCTGTATTTTTAATACAAATTTGTATTTTTAATACATTTTCTATCCTTGGCATATGTTGCGAATATAAAAAAAGGTTACATAAAATGTATTGCAAAATTTTATGATTCTGCAAACAGATTAATGGCAAATTACATAATTCCATTATTTATTTTACATATTATTTATTCACAAAATATTGAACAGGATGCTTTTAATAATCAATCACCATTTATTCGCAACAAATTCTTTTTATTTTGAGAATAAAAATGATCGTAGAATAATAAATCGTAGAATATTATAAATCCTGAAATTTTGCTATAAACTTTTTATTTTAAATTGTTTTGTAAGAATTTGAGAATATTCGTACGTATTCAATTCAATCAAATTTGATCAAATGTTCTCTAAATATAAAAAAAAAATCACGATTTAAACTATTGCTCAATACGATTTTTAATAAATTATGCAAAAATATGTATTCAATGTTGATCAAATACTCTCTAAATGTAAAAAAAA